CGTGGGGGAGCGGGGTGGCCGCGGGGCCCCGGGCAGGCTCCGTGTCCGCCCTTGGGTCTGGTCGGGACACTGGCGGGGCCGAGCCCCGCGGGCCGCCGTCCACACCCCCTTGCCCAGGTCGGGAGCGGGGTCCGGGACGAGGCCTTCTCCGGCCGCGGCCCGTAGTGCATTTTCAGAAACGTTCGATGTGCGGAATTAGTGTGTGCGCGCGCGTGTGCGTGCGTGCGTGTCGGCTTGGCGGTTGGAAATTTCAGAGAGTGCGTGTGTGATCGTTTCTACTATGGTCGTGCAACAGTTGTGTGAATCCCGGCGAATCTCGCCGCCGTCATGACTTGGGTTTTAAGGCCCTTTTCCAGCTCTTCGGACTCGTGGTTCCAGATTGCGCCGAGGAACAAACTCGGCTGCCGAGGCGCCAACTCGGCGTTCGTCCCCGGATGCAAGCGTGAGCATCGCTTACTTACTGATTGCGTTCGCGGCGACCGTACCCCGCGCGGGGGATGGAAGAGCCCGTAGAAATCTCAGCGGAACCAGGCCCGTTGAGTAACCATTTCGGGGGCTGTGCCCGTGGTTCTTGCTTTTTCCTCCCCCCCTTTTTTTAAGCGAAGACATAAATTTACGTGAGTGCTTTTATTATTTTTAGCATCGTACCCTCTTCGTTAGTGCGTGTTAATGGTACAGAGCGATTGCATTGTGATGTCTCTATCCGTGCAAATACTGTACTTGGATCAAATTCACCCCCGTCACGATCTTACAAACGTGCTTCACACGGACGTGGAGTATTTTCTGCGTTTTTAAAAAACTCATATATTGATGACTTTTTTCCCCCGTTTTGTTTGAAATCTAAGCAGTAACAGAGCAGAGAGAAACTCGTTGAAGATTTGATTACGTATCACTGCAGTGGCCAGCCTATTGGCTGGAAAACTAAATTCAGGGTAGCAACCGGTTTCTGTAAAATATTGTTTACTCTGCTTAATAAATTGAAGCAGTGGTTTTTTTTTAACGCTGCAACTTGCAATCAGTTAGTGAATTGTGAAATTAATTTAGTGGCTCACGGCTTGCACTTCCTAAATGTGAAGTAAGATAGATGGAAAATGCCAGAATTCATATTTTTGACGGTATTGTTTTGAAAGCCTTGTTTAAACTGCGCATGTGTGTGTGTGTGTGTGTGTATGTGCATGTGCGCGCGCGCACCCACTCGCACTAGCTTTTAATATAAAATGTATTGTTCCTGTGGTGTCATGATAAATAAATTTTGAAGTCACCAATTCAAAATACTGTCAGCAGTCAACGGGAATGATGCAATTAAACTGAAGGTTAGTTTTACACTTTTTCTTTTTTGAATAGTGATATTGTTTATCGCACCGAATGTTTTCTGATTGTTTTTAATTATTAAACAATTGATTAACATTTCTAAAAGTACACAACATTTAATGAAAATTGAGAGTTTAAATCTCGTCAGATTGACCAGCTACATTGGCTACATTGGGCCAGGAAGAATATACCGTGTCTACTTAGACCTCAGTTTCCTGATTTGTTAATTAAGAATTATCTTTTCTCCTACCTTTAAGGCTGTTTGATATTTAAATGAAGTAGTTTGAGTGAAGCTGTTATCTGGGGTGCCTGGCTTTAAGTGTTCAAGATTAGCTATTATTATTTTATTTATTATTATTATTTTATTAGACTGAATGGAGATGTCCAGGATGGTTGTCACCAGAGAAGAGCCTGCCTAGCATGGACAGATAAAAAATAAATTAAGAAAGGTGAAAAGTGAAAATTAGTGAATTATGTGAATGAACTATTGTTGAATTTCGATGTTTTAAAAACATATCATTTGGTTGCTTTTTTTTGTGATTGCGCCCCAATTGTTTTTCTGCTGCCAGACAGGTAATTTAATTTTTTCCCCTCCTGGGGAAAGGAAAACAAAAATGATCCTCATGATACTTCTGCCTCAGGAATACCTGGTTGTATTATAGGCATGTGCTCAGCTCAGATTGTTTTTAAAATTTTTTAATATGATATTTTTCTTCTGTTTTTTTTCTCAACTTGATTTTTTTTTTTTTTGCTGGTGACTGAAAAATATTTTCTGTGAAAATTCTGGATTTTGTTAGCTTTTGTACAGTGCCAAACACTACAACTCCAAAGTCTTTTCAATAATATTTTTATTGTGTTTATCTCTTTACCCTGTACAGATAACAGATGTGCAAGAAATAGTCCTTAAAAAAAAAAAGCACTGAGGGAGGTAGTGCTAATATCTTTGTTCAGTGCCCTGAGTTGGTTTATGAAATTTTAAATGTTACAAACACCAATAAGAATGTGAACATTGTAATTTTTAAAGTAGCATTCTAATTTTCTTAAATGTAAAAATAAAGATTTTGGTTGAAAAGACTTTAACTGGGTATAATAGCTACAAGAAATTGGGGAAAATGTCTTAAAAGATTTGCTCTTGAATTTGAAAATGTCTTTAGGTTCTTGCTCTGCTTTAGAGCAGTAAAAATGGCAACTTGTTGAGGGTGAATTGTGGTTTGGTTTGTGGGAAAAAAATCACTTGGAATTTAATTTATTCATTAAAATAAAACTCTTCAGACTAATGTATCAAGAATACCCAGCCTAGCCTTAAGCATATGTACAATTATATGTTTAAGGTATTAAGGTTGTGTTTATGTGTGCGTGTGAGCGCACTCATGTTTTAAAAATCCTTTATCTTATTGGTTTACCAACTGCTATTTCTGACTAGATAAGAGATTGCATCTTACACTGATAAAAAATGAAATTCAATGTGATCATTAACCATTCTGTTTTAGAATTACATATAATGATGTGTAAAGGTGCTGGTCACATGGTTAAATGAGAGTGGGAAGAGAATGCGCACAATACATTTTTATAAAAATAGGTTTAGAACAAAGAATATATGACATGTTGTTGATGGCAACTGGTGGAATACACAACTGATTTTTATTTTGTATTATTTTTCACACAACTGAGTACATATTGTCCTACTGTAAACACATTTTAATCTTGTAATAGAAATTAATAAAAGGCGCTTTTAAGGAAAACAATTAAAATTCTTGCCTAAATAACACTATTTGAAGATTTTGAGTAGTAGCTAATTCTCCAATAATGCAGGAAATGGTGCTGAGTAGTCTTAGCAAATTTTTTTTTTGTCTTAGCAAATTTTTAATCATTTCAAAAGCTTCTTTGAGCAGGAGGAAGCCATTGTTCTAGAATTTTCTTAAAGCACTCTGAATATACCTCTTGGGAAAGAAAAAATTTCACACAATAAAATTACATTTAAATTCTTTAGACTGCTTTGCTCTATCAAAGCTCTACTTTGCCTCTTAAATTCTCAAATGAAACCTTAGGTTCAGCCACACTTGCATATTTACTATTTCCAACTGTATGTATGCTTTTTGATTTTGTACCTATGTTGTTCCTTTGAATATCTTTTCTTTCCATTTTCCAAAATTTGCTTTAAAAGCCATTCTGACTTTTGACCTCCCTGGCCATTCCTGCTGAAGCTAAATTTTTCAATTGAATCTGTTATCATATTATTAGTATTATTTGGTTATTATTATTTATATTTTTTATTGGCAGTGGTAGGGAGATCCAACTTAGGACTTCTTGCATGCTAGGCGATAGCTATACAGCCGTATCCTTACTCCTGCACTTATTTTTGTTTAGGCATATTACAGCCTTGAATTAATTATCTTGAATTAATTTTCTAGGTCTTTTTAGATTTTATGGTAAGAACACTTGTCTCATATTTGTCTATCCACCAAAGCTTCTAGCACAGAGAACTCTGCACAGCATAGATGCTTAATAGATACATTTGATTAAACAGAAGTGTCACTGTCTCTTTTGAATTGGATTAAAAAATTTAAGTAGGTATACAGAGATTCAATTCCCTAAGTCAAGTTACGAGTTCAATACATCTTGTTCAGTGTTGGAATTGTTTTTAAACCAGTGAGGATAAACACTTTGCCAACAACAATGCGGAGGAATAAAAAAATTGGTTATTTTTGCTTAATCATCCACTGATATAAATGGACTATGAGGAATTGACAGTATTTTCCAATAAAATGTTGTAGCTGACAGTGAGTCATTAGTTGGGGATCCAGATTTAATTTTACTTAGTATTTCTTGTAAAAGTTTCTCATAGAACTTATTTTTGGGTGTGACAGCACTTTTGCTCTTAACCTAAACTTTGGAACATAGTTGCTCCTTACATCTTTTTACAGCTACTGTTCCTGTGACCCAGAGATGTGAAGTGTTTGATGGTGATAGGCCAATTGCAGTATACCTTAGGAAATCATGTTGACACTCAGTGAGTGATAATACATAAAAATACTTTGTGTTCAAAAATTAATATTCTTTTGTATTATTTGGAAACATGACTTTTTTTTTCAAACTTCAGTGTGACTTGGGGATACTTGTTTGGTCTGTTGAATATGCATACAGTAATGGGATTTAACAATTAAATTTTTTGTTTTAATTTACAGGTGTTTATCAAGACTCAACACAGCTAATGAAATACCTGCACTTTTCTGCTTCAGGTAAATCATTTGTTACTTTATTTAAAAAAAAAAGTTGAGTTCGAGTAGAATTCATAGTTTATATAAAAAGACCTATTCAGTTATGCCAAGTAATATAATCCCAAACCCTAAAGAAATGATCTTTATAGTAAGAATTTTATTAACTCATAAAAAGTGATAACTTGTATTATTGGGTGAACTTTGAAACACTTAGGAGTATTTTCATTGTACGTAATGTGCATGTGCCTGGCCTCCCTTAATAACCTTGAAGGGGATTTGATTTGGTAAGTTTCAGGTAGAAATTAGGCATGTGAATTTTTAAAAATACCAACACATGCTGCTGGTTTGTTATACTCATTGTCACAGCAGGAGAGATGATGGACATGACAGGTGATAGTGCTAAAATGCTTAAAGGCCATAGGTATTTCATTTGTGCCCGTGATGGCAGACTCATTTTTATTTTGCCTTTTAGTCATTGATAGTTATATTTTTAATAAATCACTAAAATAGTCATCATGTAATTACATGCCATGCAAAAATTATGATTAAAAATTAGGTTTAAATTTTAGAAGTCTCTTAGTCTAAAAATTGCCTTATCTGTATAACATAGAAGTTTTGTTTCATTTTATGTCTCTCAGATTAATAAATGAAGTAAAATTAATAGAAAAAAGGCGAGTTTAAAGTAATTTCATATTATTTCAGGTGCTGATTTAATTGACTTCTTTTCCCTGTAAGTGTGAGAAGTCGGAAGAACCAAGGTTCTCAACTGCAGGTAATAGGTAAGTGAATGTTATGTTGGAATTTTGACTTGATGACGCTTTTGTATTCTCATCTTACTGGTTTTAAGGCTGTGATTTCATTTTTCAGTCATTGATGTTAACTTAAATGGAAGCTTTTTAACTGCTGAATACTCTTATTTAGAAGTACTCATTGCCAGGCACCGGTGGCTCACGCCTGTAATTCTAGCTACTCAGGAGGCTGAGATCTGAGGATCGCTATTCAAAGCCAGCTGGGGCAGATAAGTCTATGAGACTGTTGTCTCCCATTAACCAGCAAAAAGAAGCAGAAATGGAGCCGTGGTTCAAGTGGTAGAGCAACGCAAGCCTTTAGTAAAAAACTGAAGGACAGTGTCAGGCTGAGTTGAAGCCCTAGTACCAGCACAAGACAACAACAAAAACCTCATGTAACAGAGGCAGGTATGGTACAAGTATGTGCGGTATATACTTGTAATACTAGTGCTTGGATGGCTGAGGTAGGAACTTCAGAAATTTTGAGGCCAATCTGGGATATATAGGGAGACTTTGTTTCAAACAAATACTCAAAGCACAAAGAAAAATTGTTACGTATTTTACAATAGACAAGAATGTTTAAACTAAAATTTAAAGTTGAACTGGGAGGCAGAGATCAGGAGGATTATGGTTTGAAGCTAGCCCGGGCAAAAAGTCACCAAGAGACCTCTTCCGAATCTCAACAAACAAGGTGGGTGTGATGGTACCTGTCTGGGATCTCGGCTACGTAGGAGGTATATAGGCAGTGGGATCATAGTCTTAGCTAGTCCAAGGCAAAAGCAAGACCCTTTCTGGGGGAGAAAAAAAATAACTATCGCAAAAAGGGCCTGGGGCATGGCTCAAGTGGTAGAATGTCTTGATGTCTGTCTAGCAGGAGTACCTGAATTCAAATCCCAATACTAAAGGAAGAAAAGATCTTGAAAAAATTATTTATTTATAGCTCTGTAGTTTTAAGAAACCAGTAAGAGCCGGTGCTAGTGGCTCTCGCCTGTCATCCTAGCTAGTAAGGAGGCTGAGATCTGAGGATTATGGTTCAAACCCAGCCTGGGCAGGAAAGTCCGTGAGACTCTTATCTCCAGTTAACCACCAGAAAACTGGAAGTGGAGCTATGGCTCAAAGTGATAGAGTACTAGCCTTGAGCGAAGAGCTCAAGGACAGTACCCAAGCCCTGAGTTTAAGCCTTGTAACCACAAAAAAAGAAAAAAAAGAAGAAAAGAAATCAGCAAGAACAGTACAGTGAAGTTTTTACTTAAACTATAAATATACATGCATTATGTCAGTAAATATAGTACCAGTTTATCCAGATTATCTTAGGAGAATTTGAAATTCTCACTCCTAGGCTCTTTTTCAGGTCTATTAACTGAAAATTGTGATTTTTGGCACTTAGTGTGGTTTGGAAGTACTGCAGGATGTAGTGGTAAAGGATTATAACTTTAGATGGATAGAAACTAGAAAATGATTTATTTGCCAAGATATCTCAAAATACTAGCAGGGAAAATTTTCTAATAGATTTTTAATTCACATACTTGTCAGAAAAGAATGGTCTTGCATTTGAGCGGCGATTTTTATTAACTTGGTTAGATAAGTTCTTCTAACATTTGCCTGTTTTATGAGCTGAGCAGAAACTACCCTTGGTATCTGAACTATCATATAGCGAATTAGACATGGAAAATTTAAATAATCTTGAGTTTTGTATAGAAATATCATAGGAAGAATTAACTCCATAAGAGAAGAGTAAATAATACTGTTATACTACCTTAGTGACACTGGTCAAGATGCATTGTACTCACAAACTGACATGTTGGATTGAAATCCCTTTGTACAACTATTTAAATATTATGAAAAATAAATTTTTAAGAAAAGTAATTTAGCCAGGGTCATGCTTGTAATCCTAGCTAGCTATGTGTAGGAGATTGAGATCTGAGGATCACCATTCAAAGTCAGCCTGGCAGGAATGTCCATGAAACTCATATGTCAGTTAATCACCAAAAAGCCAGAAGTGGAACTATTGCTCAAGTGGAAGAATGCTATCCTTGAGCACAAAACCTCAGGGACAGTATCTAGGCCCTGAGTTTAAGACCCATGACAGACACACACAAAAAATAATTTGTCAGCCAGGCACCAGTGGCTCATGCCTATAATCCCAGCTACTCAGCAGGCTGAGATCTGAGGATGGCAGTTCAAAGCTAGCCCGGGCAGGAAAGTCCATTAGACTCTTATCTCCAGTTAAGCACCAGAAAACTGGAAGTGGCACTGTGGCTCATGTGATAGAGTGCTAATCTTGAGCTGAAGAGCTGAGGGACAGCGCCCAGGCCCAGAGTTCAAGACCCATGACTGAGGGTGAAAAAAAAAAAGTAGTTTGTCTTTAGAAATTGAGTACTTTATTTTTTGTTACTATATCAGTTCCTAATAATGTCAGTAAGCTGTCAGAAAATTGATAAGAATTTTTGTCATTTAAGTCTTCAGATATTGGCACAAATGCTGATTAATTCAGTGTCTCATATCTGCTTTATATACTGACTACTATTAGAAATAGGACTAAGTGGGCTGGGTGCTCGTGGCTCATGCCTATAATCCTAGCTACTCAGGAGACTGAGATCAGAGGATCACGGTTCAAAGCCAGCCCAGGCAGGAAAGTTCGTGAGATTCTTATGTCCAGGAAACTACTCAGAGAAAGCTGGAAGTGGTGCTGTGGCTCAAGCGGTAGAGTGCTAGCCTTGAGCAAAAGGAGCTCAGGGTCAGCAATTAAGTCCTGAGTTCAAGACCTACGTAAGGCTGGGACAATAAAAAGAAATAGCAATAGATGGAAGCTGAGTGTGGTGGGGCACACCTCTAATCTTCACATTCAGAAAACCAAGAACAGAGGACTCTGGGCTTAAGGTTAGTCTGGGCGACATACCAAGACCTTATCTCAGAAAACAAACAAAAAACACCCCCAAAACTGGGCTTTTGAGTCATTTTTCTCATAGTAGTAAGGAATTTTGATTTTTTTCTACTTTCAAATAGTTGCACTTTTTTTGCAGTTTGGGGGTTGGAAGAGAGTAGCCACCTGCCTTTGGTTACTCAAGATGCAGAAGAGACAAGGATATTGCAGCTATTGCCGTGTGCAGTACAGTAACCTGGAACAGGTGAGAGGTTCCACTAATATGACGACACCTTAGAGGATCTTAGTTGTGAGCCTCTCTTCTTTATACTTCGTTAAATTCATTTGCTCATTCATGGAATAGAGTAGATGGAAACCCAGCTCATTTTCAGATAACTGCTTAAATTCTAGCACTGTACCATGAACAAAATGGAGTTTGATTTTTTTCAGTGCTTATAGCCTAGTGCAGTAGGACAGAAATGAGTCATATGAACTCAACACACAGTGTGTCAGGATGTAAAAAAATTTATGAGGAAAAGAAAATGAAGGGGTGCTATTTTAAGTTAGGGGGCCAGGTAAGGCCTTTATAAAAAACAAGAACAACCCAGAACATGACATTTGAGTTAATATTTGAATCAGGTTTGGTGCCAGGTTTGCATATATATATATATATATATATATATATATATATATATATATATATATATGGGAGCAGACTTTCTAGGTAGATGAAAGAAAAGGACAGAGACTCTCAGGCAGAAGAGTGTCACCCTAACCGAAAACCAACAGGTGAGACCAGTGTGGCAGCAGTGGGAGGGAAAGGTGGGTGAGAAGTAATATGCAAAGACGTCAGAAGAGGAGATACCTGAAACTGTCAAGGTTAAGGTAAGGACTGTACTTTATTCCAAGGGAATACGTGTTTGTGTTCTGAGCCCAGTCATTAAATCCGCTAACTTGTGCTTTAAAAGGATCATTGCCACTACTATTGGGGAGAAAAATTGGTATGATGGTTCTTTCAAATAAATTTTTATTAAGATATAATTCTTATTCTGTAAACATTTTCCCTTTTAAAATGTGAAATCCAGATATGCGTCAGTGAGTATACAAAAGTATACTAATTTCAGAACATTTTCATCACCCTAAAAGAAAACCCTCTATGCATTAAGTAAATATTCTATATTTCCTTGTAATCCTTAATTCCTGGGTAAATACAAAACGACTTTCTGTTTGAATAGATTTAACTGTTATATATATTTCATATTAATGGAGTTATGTATGTGAGATCTTTTGTGTACGGCTTTTTTTTTAATCAGCATAAGATTTTTCAAGGTTTGTCCATGGCATAGCATATATTATTACTTCATTCTATTTTATGGCTGATAATATTCTGTTATAATAATAGTACCATATTTTGCTTATTCATTCAATTGATACGTGTTTAGGTTGTTTTTACTTTTTTTGGCTACCATGAATATTACTATGAATATTTGCATACAAGTGTTTGTGTGGACTTAATGTTTTCAGTTCTTCTGGGCATATATGTAGGAATGGAATTGTTGGGACATGGTAACTACTTAACTTTTTTGGGGAACTGCCTCACTGTTTTCCAAAGTAGTTCTACTATTTTATGTTACCACCAGCAATGCATGAGGGTTCTAATTTCTCCTGATCCTTCCCAGCACTTTAAAAAAAAAAATGACAACCATTTCAGTGGATGTAAAGTGATACCTCCTTGTGACTTTAATTTGTATTTTCTATTAATGTCATTGAGCATGTTTTCATGTGCTTACTGGCAATTTTGTGTATCTTCTTTGGATGAATGCCTATTCAAATCAGGTACCCATTAAAAACATTTTTTAAAAAATTGTTGAGTTGAAAGTCTTTTATGTATTCTGTGTACTGGACCCTTAGGAGAGGCAGGATTAGCAAATACTCTCTCCCATTCATTCTGTGGGTTGTCTTTCTACTTCCTTGATAGTATGCATTGATGTATAAAAGTGTTTCTGAGTATGGTGATACATGCCTATAAGCCTATGATCCCAATTCTTAGGGGAGGTGAAAGCAAGAAGATCTTTCCAAGTTAGCTTGGGCTACATAGTGAGACCTCAAAATTTTTTTTTAAGCTCTTTTTTTTTTTTTTTGAGGTCTTAACTATGTTGTCCAGGCTAGTCTCCAATTTTCGATCCTCTTGTCTGGGCCTCCTGGTGAGAAGAGAGGTGTGAGTCACCACACCCAGATGAATGTATTGATTTTGTTTTGTTTTGTGGTGTTTTTAATGTCTGAGGATTATTCAATGTAAGGTCATAAAGAAGTATGCCTATGTATGCCTATAAAACTTCTTTGAGAAGTTTTATAATTGCTCCTACAATTAGGTTTTTCATCCATTTGGAGTTAATTATTCTGAATACATAGAGGTAGGAGTCCAGTTTCATTCTTTAGCTTGTGGTATCCAGTTATTGCCACACAATTTGTTGAAAATACTGTCCTTTGTCCATTGAATTGTCTTGATACCTGTTGAAAATCAATTGACTACATAAAATGTCAGACTGTTTATTTTCAATTCTATGCCATTGGTCTCTATATATCTAACCTAAGACTGGTACCACACAGTCTTTGAAAAATATATTTAATTGACACATAGTAATTGTATATGGTGTGCTATTTTAAGTACTTGTATTCAGTGTTTAATGGTCAGGTCATTGGATTTGGCATATCTATTGCCTCATTTTCCATTTTTGTATTGGGAGCATTCAAAATCTTCTCTGCTGTCCATTGTGAAATATGTAATAAATTGTTGTTAACCGTAGTTACCCGGTGTGCTATAGAATGTTAGAAGCTACTCCGCCTACCCATGTATTCTCCTGTATTTGTTATCCCTTCCACCCCATGCCCTCTTCAGACTTAGTAATGATTATTCTACTCTTCTTTGACAAAATGTACTTTTTAGCTTCTACATGTGAGAGAATATAGTATTTGTCTTTTTGTGCCTGACTTTTTTCACTTAACATAATATGCTATGTTCTATGTATGTTGTTGCAAATGACAGATTTTATTGATTTTTTTTTTTTAGGGAGTATTGGGGTTTGAACCTAGTGCCTTATGCTTGCTAGCCAAGCACTCTTATCATTTAAGTTATATTATATCCCCAGGATTTCATTCTTTCTTATGGAAAGAATTGTGTGTATATATATTTACACACATACACATACATGCATATTTATATAAACATACATGTATGGTTATATACATGTATATAATAGTATATATGTGGGATATATGTGTGATTACATATAATATATGTCATGTATATATATATGTGATATATATGTGTATCACATATATCACATTTTCTTTATTTATCCATCTATAGACCCCTAGGTTAATTCTACTCTGTTTCTTGGCTGTTATTAATGGTACAGATAAACATGACATTATTTCCTTTTGGTACGTTCCTAGTAGTGAGATTGCTAGGTCATGTGGTAGTTCTATTTCTCATTCTTTGGTACTAGCTTTTTGTTTTGCACATTGTTTTCTGTTAAGGCTATATGAATATTCCATTGATAGTATGTGAGAGTTTTTTTAAATCTACATCCTTGGTAGCATTTTTGGTCATCTTTTTGATGATAACCATCTGACTGGAGTGAGAAGATATCTCATTGTGTTTTTGACTTGCATTTCTCTGATGATGTGATGTTTAGTGATGATTAAGATGATTTTGAGCATTTTTTATGTACTTCTTGGCCATCTGCTTTTTGTTGTTGTTGTTGTTGTTGTGGGGCTTGAACTCAGAGCCTGAGCATTGGCCTTGAGCTTTTGTGCTCAAGTCTAGTGCTCTACTGCTTGAGGCACAGCTTCACTTCCCAGCTTTTTAGTAGTTAGAGTATCATAGACTTTCCTGCCTAGGCTGGCTTCAAACTACAATCCTCAGATCTTGGCCTCCTAAGTAGCGAGGATAACAGGTGTAAGCCACTGTTTCCAGGTAGCCATATGCATTTTTATATCCTTTTTTGGAAATGTCTATTCAGGGCATTTGCTTATTTTAAACTTAGATTATAATAATATAATAATACTATTATTTTACTATTGAGTTATTGGATTCTGGAAATTTATGCTTTGATTAATAGTTTGTCAGTTTTTCTCTGGTTCTATACGTTGTTTCTGTCTCTCTGCTAGGATTTGAATGTAGGACTTGTACTTGTTCCTGCTACTTGAGTCAAGCGTTAGGCCTTTTGGCTTTAGATATTTAAATTTTTATTTAAGTTATATATATATTTTTGGCAGTAGTGTGGATTGAACCCAGGGCCTCATACTTGTTAGGCAGTCTGCCACATGCCTCTAGCTCTTGCTTTAGTTTTATGTTTTTGTTTTTATTTTTTGGGTCCGGTCGTGTGATTTGAATTCTGGGTCTAGGTGCTGTCCCTCAGCTCTTCAGCTCAAGGCTAGCGCTCTACCACTTGAGCCACAGCGCCACTTCCAGCTTTTTTCTTTTTGCTTATGT